CAGCCCAGCTGAGTGGCGCATGGGAAGCTGAAGATGAGCCATTTGCCTGAAATTCTAACAGAATTTGAACTGTAAATTGGAGAATGACAAACTAAAAAGAAAATCTAAAAAAAAAAAAAAAAAAAATCAACTACCTTTTGAATCTGCATCATACCAGGATTTTGGGTCTTTCCAGAGCAAATCATCAGTCAGTTACGAAAAATTAGGTGGGCTGCTTGTGTGCGACACATTACATTTGTTACAGAGTAAGCTGAAACCACAAGACTCATTTCACTCAGAACCTCAAAATATACCCAGTGCTACACAACTACCCCAAGCCCCTGCAACATCCCCATTCTCATACAAAGAGTTTAAACTTTAAAAAAAAAAAAAAACAAAGAAATCCTATTATAGGGTAATAGGGCATACATTTAAAAGCACGCCCTGGGCTCCCCAAACTATTATCCTCTTGAGAAGAAAGTAATGTAAATTACGTACTTGCCTTCTAGTTTCTGTGGCAGCAGGTTGTAACCTGAGCACATTTTCTAGTTTTCCCCCACAAAAATCAATGTTCTTTTTTTCTTTCTGCTTCTGTTCTGAGCAGCCCAGGTGAGCCCGCACCCCTAACAACATGGAGTGACACGGCCAAACCAGAAAGAGGTAGGAGAAACCACTATCGAAAACATTATTCCTTTTGCCCACAGAAACCAATATCCAACAAGAACCAGTGCTGGTATGACTTGCTGACCAACTGTGCCACCTACTTCATCCTCCTGGCCAGGCTGGACATACAGTGGCAGCAGCAAGGAGATGATGGTGCAAGAGCCCTTTCTTGGCGCCTCCAAATCAAAGGGGAAATACTCCCACAAGGTCCATAGGATAACTTGGCACACAAATGCATGCCGCTCAAAAGTAATTTCAATGGATCTCTTAAATCTGTTTGGTTTCATACAAAGAGTTAAAAAAAAAAAAAAACCTTGTTGCTATCGTTCTTTGAACTACGCTCAGACCTGCTCTTTGAAGGAAGAGTCGCCTTTCTTAAAATATATTTGAACATGCTATTTTTATCTTTATCTTAGAAGGCCTGATTTCCCCTCACAGCCCTGCAACTGATTACAATAATAGGTTTCTCAGAGATGGACAAGTTAAGAAGAGGTTTTATCACTTCATATGCAGCTAAACGCATGGGAAGAGCTCCCTTCATTTTTCTTTAGATTCAAATGCAGCCCTCTCACTCCCCTCCCTACAAATACAAACAGAGCAACTCAACTCTTGTAAGCACATACGTGCCATGGAAGTCAGTTGGACCACTTGTGCTCCTCACCTTACATAAATAACCAAGGGTGTGGCAGCTCTCACTCCAGGCAGAATTCATACGTATGCTTAAGGATGCTTTTGCCTACTTCTTACAGGTGGAGTGGAGCCAAAAGGATCCGTTAATTTTAGGGACAGAAAAAACTATAATTCTGATAATTTTTCATTGGAACTATGCAGCTATGCAGCCCCCAAAAAAATGCAAGGGGAGGAAACAAATTGTTTCCACGTCAACCATTATTTTGTATCTGTCAAACACTGCTTGCTCTTTAAAAAAAAAAAAAACAAAACAAAAAAACCCAACAAAACCAGAACACATATTTCTAAGGAAGCTGAAATGAAACTGCCTTATCTCACAAGTCGCTATGACACATAATAAAGAGGCACAACCCAGGGTCCTTCTTCTCTACTTTACTACTGTCCCATTACAGTATTGGTAAAGAGAGAGAAGAGCCTTCTCAAACACTTTGCTGAGTAAGTTTTTAGGTGACATATTCCCTACTTAATTAGAACAAACAAAAAAATAAAATAAGATAAAAATATACACAGTAAAATATTATCTTACTGCTTTAGGAAACCTACAGTACATTACTGGACTGCTGTTCTTACACTTCTCTCACGCTCCTTTGCCAGGTGCCAAGTTACGAGCTCAGTTTATAATGGCAAGTCTCACTATATCACTGGAAGAATTAAAATGGCCAGAAGAAGAGAAGCAACAAAGTTTTGAGTTTAAAATCTACAAATTCCTTTTTCTTATCTAGCCTAGTTGAGCACTACCCAAAAGCAAAACAAACCTGAAACAAGGACTTGCTTTATGGTTCTCACAAGGCAGGTCATCATTAGTAACATACAGACTGAAAAAATGAAATGGCTAAGGCATGGAGACTTTTTCAGTCTATCCAAATACAACATGAGTCAATGTTAGGTAGAGAGGTTAGTCATGCTGTGGTTTATTTATGCTTATGTTGGTCTATGCAGGAGTGATATAAATACTGGAGGCAGGATGCCTGCCTAGCTAGCCGAGGCCTCATCCTTCTCCCTCAGGGAGGGATGCCAACAGCAGGACATACGTTGATAACAGCATGATTAAGCTCTGGCCTTATCATTTCACCAACAAGCCAATTCTTCACTCTTCACTCAGGAGTGAACTTTCACAGTGAAGTGCATTACTTATATTCGCAATTTTTAGGCTTTTCGAGATATACTGAGTTTGACTACCACATCGCAGTGCTGCTCAGTTCCTCACTGAGTTGCCCAACTTCAGAAACACAAGTTGCTTATCAATGTTAGCAGAACAGATCATAAGAGCATTTATTCGCACCAAAACTTCTGAGTAGACTATATTTAAAGCTTAAATTTTTCCAACGCATTTCAGAGCATCATTTACAAGAAAAAAATACGTAAAACACATTTTCTTTGTATGAAAATTCACTTATCTAAATTCCAAACAAATATCTTTATTTGTTTTAAGCAAAGACGCATAGCTTAACTTCTGTACCACATGTACATGCACAGAGCACTCACGGAGCAGCACTTCTGTTGTTAAATGTGTGATCTGGACAAGCTTTAGAAAATAACGTAACATACCAGGGCACACCACGCCCCGTCACTTCACTGGGCAACAAAGTGAATTGGTTTATTTCTAGGTAGATGAATCTTACAAAAGGCAATGGCTCCATTCCAATCCAACCGAGCATCCAAGACCACAAAGCAGATAAGCCAAGACAGCAAACAGCTGCATATACCGTATGCAGAAACAATTCATGCATACACCAAAGTTATAAGGATGGATCACTTCCTCATGACACTGTACCCCTAGCGAGGGCAGGGACCAAGTCTCTCTGTGGGCCAGAGCCCCAGGCAGGATGGGTAAAGGCAGCAGGGTGGCCCTGCCAAACAGCCAGACACGCCAGGCCAACCTTGACAGGTTAACTCTCTCCTCCTCCCATACCTACAATAAAACTGTAGCTGTCAAAGGCATAAAAATCCCCCCCCCCCGTAATTATTTGCTTAGAACGTTAATCACACAGTTAAGCACTTTGCAATATTTTCCATAAATAATTAAGCTGTGGGTCATCATATCTATTTTGCTATCCTATTAGTCTGTAAATATGTATGAACTTCACCTGTAACTACCTGAATGACAACCAGCACTGATGCACAGGGACAGTAAGTGCAGGTCAGATTTGACTGGACGAACGCACTAATCCCGCTAAGTTTACATCCTGACCAGTCAAGCCTGGATAGTTGACGGGCACATGTGAAAACCGCTCTGTAAAGTCAGCAGAAGGATGAGTAGGCATTATCCATTTATTAACTGGTTAACTACCGATTAATTTCACTTGCAAATCACCTCTCCGGTATTTAAACACCTGGCTAAGAGTTCTTGCTCGCTACCACCCCGCATGCTGACGGGCCGGAAAATCGGAGCGCCCCGGCAGCGCCCAGCCCGCCGCGCGCTCCTCTCCCGCGGGAAAGGAGGAGAAATCCCCATTCCTCCCAAACGAGCTCGCCGCCCCACGCGGTGCCGCCCGGGAAGGGCTCCACAGCCGAGCCCCGCGACCGCCCCGCATCCAACACTGATACCGAGACGGCACGGAGCGCGCTGCGGGGCGAAGGGCGGGGGGAGCCGCGCGTGGGTCGGACACTCGTGTCAGGGGCCGTGACAGCGCGGCGGCTCGGAGAACTTCCGCGGCCAGCCCCGCCGAGCCGCCCTTCCCCGCCTCTCCTCTCCTCTCCTCCCCGGCACAGCACGGCTCGGCTCGGCGGCGCCCGGGACTGGGCGGCAGCGCCGCGGAGGGGCGCCCCGCCACCGGCCCCCGCGCCCCGCGCCGCCCGCCCGGGCCGCCCAGGTACCGCGCACCCCCCGCCCGCCCGCGGCCGCACGGGCAGCACGGGGCGGCGGCAGCCGGGAGGGCCTGGGCGCTGCAGACCGAAAGTGAACTGCGAGCTGCAAACTTTTTTTTTTTTTTTTTTTTTCCCCTTTTCGCCCCCCCCCCTCCCGCCCCCCCACCTTCCAGCGCTGCCCCGGCTCCTGCAGAAGCGAAACTTGCGAAGCGTCGCCCCTACCTGGCGCCAAGTCTGCAACAAGTGCAGGCGTGGTGGGGGGAAGGGGGGCCGGGCGCGGGGATCGTGGCGGTGTCGGCGAGGCGGGAGCAAATCGCGATATTAATTTATTACGGAGCTGCCCCGGGCTCGGTCCTACTTCACTTACAGTACGGCGCCCATCCTGTAAACAAATATCGCTCCGCCAGGAAACGCGCTGCCCCGGCCCGGCGCGGCCCCGCTGCCCGGCACCCACCCCGGCGGCGGCGGCGGCACATGGAGCGGGGCGGGGGCCCCGCGCCGGGGGAGGCTCCGGGCACCGGCACTTACCTCCGGCACGGCCTCCCCCGCCCGCCGCGCTGCCGAGTCCGTGATGCAAAAAAGAAAGGAAAGGGTGAAGGAAAAAAAAAAAAAAAGGAGAAAGAAAAAAAAAAAATCCGGTGTCAGCAAATCGCTGTCAAATAATTTCCTTGCAGCAGGGAGCGGGGAAAAGCAGAAGCAGGAGGGGGAGGAGGCTGCGGGAGGCGGCGGGATCCCTCCGCCGCGATGGGTCTGGCCCCGGGTAGCGAAGCAGGAAGTAAGGTGTCGGTGGCGCCGCGGCCGCCCGGCCCCGCGGCGGGGCGAGGGGCGCCCGCCGGCCCCAGGGGCCCGCCCGCCGCCGGCCGTGCGCCGCCGCCTCCCGCCGTACCTCCCTCCTTCCCTCCCGCTCCGCCGCGCCGCGGTCTGGCCGGCAGCCCCTCCTCTAAGGGCGGTGAGCGCAGCGCAGGTGCCGGGGCCACTGGCGGCGACCTGTCAGCGGCTCCCGCCGGAGCGGCGGGGTGCGGGCGAGGGGGTGCCGCGGGATCCCGCCGCAGGGCGCCGGGGCCGCCTCCCGCTCCCGCCCGGGCGGCCGTGCCGGAGGGTGACACCGCGCCAGCCCTGCGGCCGAGGGGATCCCGCCGCCGAGGGGCTGGGGTGGAGGGGGTCCTCCGCTGGCGCCGGGGGGGGGGGTGTCCTGCGGAGTTGGGGGAGCCGTGTCGGGGCCGGGAGCTGCGAGCTGCGAGCGCTGCGGTCCGGCCTCCGCCAGCCCCGGGGCGCCGGAGGAGGAAAGTGGCCGCCGTTAAGGCGCTCTCTCACCCGGGAGGTCTCCTGCCCTGTGCGGGGAAGGGCTGCTGCGCCTGCCGGGGCCGCCTCCGGCTCCAGGGAGGCTCCTGCGCTTTGGGTTAATTGAGAAGTTAATTCTCTAATTCAGCGAACCTTGTAGGAACTTGCTCCTGTGGTCACTGATCGTCGCCACTGGTACTCTTAAATTGCCTTTTTTCTTTCCTTTTTTTTTTTTTTCCTTTTTTTTTCCTTTTTTTTCTTTTTTTTTTTTAATTCTACAGAAATATATTGGTGAAATACCTCATCGGTCCTGTTTCCCTTGGGCTCAGCATTTGCATTAGATTGCACCAAAATGTTCCCTCACAGAGAAGGATTTTGCGTCTTGGGGACAGATATGTGATGCATACAGCTTATGCAGTGCTCTGTTTAAGCTCACGCACAATGACAGACAAGTTACTGTAAGAAACCGTAGCTGGGAAGAGAGAAACTGAAACGGGGATGGTTATAGGGCCTACTTCTGCCTTCAAAGAGGGGAAAAAAACCAACACAAAAAACTCTCAAGGGTTATAACTGGAACAGAAAAAGGTTTGGTGTTAGCGTTTGTGATTCAGCCTTGCATTATAATGGTTACCAGCAGCCTCATTTTCTTTTTATGGTCATCCTGGTTTCCTGATTGCATGACACTTCCATTGGGCCACTGTTCTTAATAATTTAACCTTTTATGAGATTGTTTTGATTTACAGCGTAAATGAGAGGAAGAGTAAAAAAGTATATCACCCATTGGCTATTAAACTCCTTTGTACTATATGCAAAGGTCTCTGTTGTTTAAAATGTTGTGAGAAAGGCTCTTCTCTAATTTTTTCTTTTTTTTTCCCCAGCCAACTAGTAATTTTCTAATTTTTTTTTTACTTAACTGAAAAATACCATTCAGATAATATAACATCTCTGTGCTGAGCTATGCAAAATGTATGCTGAGTTTTGGATTCAATGGTTGGCTTGTTTGCTTGCTGAAGTACTAAGTCATATAAACTATGTTGAAAATAGAATTAAAACCACAACTGAACATGTGCCTTGCCTCTGTTTTTTGTGTTTAGTCTGAAACCTAGAATAGCCCATATTACTTGTGATTTCCAAAATGACCTCTGAAAATAAGCAATGGAATTTAACAGTCCTTCTAGGTTTGTCTTGGCATTTTCACTTTTCCAGTTAATCAATATGAGCAAATTTCTGTTGAATCAGCTAGGTGTTACTTGATTTACCTGAAACACACAGGTTTGTGCTATAACTTTCAAAATAGAAACAAATGTCAAATTTGAACAAAGAATCATTATCAAGCAGCCTTCTGACATGCTATAAACTGGACTCATCTTTGCCATAACAAGTTTAGCTACACAAAATTCTTTTAGCTTCGGACAACATTTCCATAGAACTGTGGGGGCTGGCTATAACCAGATTAAATTCTTTGTACTTATCCTGCCAGTTATGAATTGGTCTCCATCAAAAGCACAAAGCCTTAATTTATGTTTCTCAGTTTTCCTCATCCTTCTTCTAATCTTCAAGGATTTGAGTATGAAGCTTCCCAGTTTGGAATAACAAATCATATTACTATTTACAGTATTAAACCTCAGAATAATTTTACAGGCTTGTCGTGATGTTGTTCAAGAATGATTTGACAGCGATACCTGGCAAGCTGGTGAGTGTTTGGAGCCCTGAAGCCGGGGTGAGTTAGGTCCTGGCCCGGGGAACTGCCCGATTGCTGCTGTCAGAAGAGGGAGACCTTGCCCTCTCTTCCCTGCCCGTCGAGCTGGTTCAGCTCATCAAGCCAGAAAACTCTACCCTCTCTGGGCTAATTTCGTGCCATTTTGGTGAGCTCCCTGGGAAGTCAGCTGAGTGCCAGGGGCAGCTCAAAGGGAGCTGAGGGGGGACTTGGGACAGGGAGGGCCTGTGAAGCCCTGCAGGAAAGCGGCAGGGTGGCTCAGCTGCCTCTTCAAGCCTCCCACCACTTAAAACAACGGAAAAGCAGCGAAAGTCGCTGTCAGATTTTTGTTAGCGATTAATGCATTTTAATTTTTTTCTACGCAGGGCTGTTTTAGAAATGAATTATAGAAGTTTAGAAGGTCTCTGATCATCCTCCTGGTTCATTCCTTTCCAACACAGAGTTGCTGTGTCATCATCTTCCCAAATGCCTTCGTTTTTATTAGAAAGCTTTGCCTGGAATTTGTAGGCTTTCCAAGAAAGACAATGCTGAAGAAAACATAGTATGGCTGTGGTAGGAGGTAACATACCTTTGTTCAACAGCTGAAGTCATTTAAATAAAGCCACTTAAGATACCTTAGTAAATCACATTTATGCAAATATATTACTGCTCAAAATCACAGCAGCCAAAGTGGATATCTGTCCTATTTCTTGGCTTTGGATGCCTGTTTCCAGGTTGAACTTTTAATTGTGGATGTTATCTAAAAAAAAATAACCAAACCTTAATTATCCAAGTCCATCAGACAAAACCAATGACAGACTTAGTTTTGCTTTAATGTGGAGCGGTTGAGCCATACAGTGTACCGATACAGGATTTAGGTTTAAAAGCAAGTTTGTTCTCAGAATCCGATATCTAACATAATGTGGACTGTAGTGTTTGTAACTGAGATTATAACTTACTTAGTTAAAGTTTATTTTCCAGGGGAAAAAAAAAAAAAGTCATTATGGATATTTCAAGAAATGGCAAATATGCCTTTTGCTACCTATTATTCTGGTGTAATTACTGATCATCCTCTGGTTAAATGTTTGACCTTGATTTTTCATTTCAATTTGTGAGTTTTCCAGCTTGACATTGCTGGTTCTTTCCCTTCTAAATTAGTTCGGTATCATCTGAATCCCTTGGCTTTTGCCAAGTCATTTACCTTTGTCTCTTTCCTGTTGAATGTATAAGGCACACTGGGGTCTTACAGGAGTGACACTAGCAGGGTCAGAATAGTTTAAAAAGGCAAACGTTTTCTGCCGTCACATGCCTTGTGCATTGAAAGGGAAGTAGCCACATCATCCCACATACCTGAACACAAAGAAAATTAAATTACAGTTGGTGATGGGCTTGCTCAGAGATCAGCAAGTGCATCAGTCCAGTCCTTGTGCTCAAGAAACTGTATCTCTGCTTTGTTTGAAGGTAATGTTACTACCTCTGCTCTGGCCTTGGTGCTTCTTACCTTCATGTATGTTTGACTATGGTGTCTCTCCCTCTTAGGTCCTCTCACCAGGAAGCTCAGGACACGGAGAGCTTCCAGGATACAACATCTTGTGCTCTTTGGTGTTGCTTCTGACTTATGCTGCATCCATTGTGAATTAGGAAAAATGGCCAAATTTGAAGTGGAGCTTAAAAAACGATTAAAATAATTTTTAGTAGAAATGCATCAGGACCCCAGCTTCTGCAAACTACCCTTTGGCCGCTCCTGCTGCCTGGGTGAAAAGCAGGCCTGTGTCAGGCAAGCAGCATCCCACCCTTGCTGGTCCAATTGGCTCTTGTCCAGTGAAGTGGCTGCTCTGATCCAAGATGTGGGGTGAAGTCACAGATTTCACCAGCAGACTAATATGATCTCAGACCATGCCGCCAACAAACCTAATCTTGGAAGTAAAACTTCTTAGTTTTATTCTTCTCTTTCAGCCAGATTGGTTTGCTGATTGCACAGCATAAGGAATGGTGAGGAAATGTGCCGAGGAGAGAAGAAGATGAAAGCATACTGCTGTCACTCAGACTGCTGGTAAAAGCCTTGCCCACAGGGCCCCTCACTCCAAAAAAGGCATTGAGGTGCTGGCATCTGTCCAGAGAATGGCAACAGAGCTGGTGAAGGGTCTGGAGCACAAGTCTTATGAGGAGCAGCTGAGGGAACAGGGGTTGTTTAGCCTGGAGAAAAGAAGGCTCATGGGAGACCTCATTGCTCTCCACGATTACCCGAAAGGACACTGTAGCAAGGTGGGGGTTGTTATCTTCACTCAAGTAACAAGCAATGGAGCTAGAGGAAATGGCCTCAAGTTGCACCAGGAGAGGTTTAGAATGGGTATTATGATAAATTTCTTTATCATAAGATAAAGGGTTGTCAAGCATTGGAACAGGCTGCTCAGAGAAGTGGTAGAATTACCATTCCTGGAGGGATTTCAAAGATGTGGAGATGTGATGCTGAGGGACAGTGGCAGACTTGGTAGTGTTAGGTTAATGGTTGGACACAATGATTTAAAGGTGTTTTACAACCTAAATGATTCTACGGGTTTTTTCCACGAAGGTTAAAACAAGTGAATTGTGAAGGCTAGGGTCCTGCTGTCCCTTCTGCAAGTTTTTGCCTCCAGCTGTATGGTTTTGCCTCCTGTCTGCATTCAGTGCTGACCCTCATGCTTTCCAGGTAAGCCAGATCACCTCCCAGTGCTGGCAGAAACATCCTGTCATTTTTCCCATGGGTTGCCTCATTGAATCAGCCAGGCAAGTAACAGAAAAGGAGAAAGGAGCGTGTGCCTAAAAGTGGGATTTGCATCCACACCAGTTTAAATTACCTTTAACTGTCATGAAGCCACAGCTGCTATCTCATCGGGAGAATAAGATGCTCTTTAAGATAGTCAGTCCAGGCAGTGGACAAAAAAAGAAAAAGGAAAATTGAACCTGCCATAGCTGTTTGGACCATGGGCAGCTCCAGGAGTCCACAAACACTAGTTTTCTCTCAACTCAAACCCTATCAGTCACTGAGCCACTGAGTTGCTCCTTTGGTGCAGCCTGAGGTAGCTGATGAGGCTCCCCCTGGGGCTCTGGCCCAGTGCTGATAGAGATGAGTGCTGATAGATGAGGGATCCTCCTGACAGCTCTTGGTGGGATGTGGCCTTGACTTCTCTTCTTTGCCCTGCAGCTGGGAGTGTGGGACATGTGACTCTTTGCAGGATGCCCTGACACAAATCAAAGCCTATGAAGTGCTTAGGAATGTTTTGGTAAAGAAGTTGCAGTTGGCAAGTGAGAAATAGTGGTGACTTGGAGATTTTTTTTCAGTGATACTATTACATGTTTTGCAACCATGCATGAGCCCTGCAGAGGAAAATGAGCTAGAGACATTCTTGCTTCATTTCGTTACCATTCCTCTTGGAAGAGTCACTTACACTATCATGCTGTCAGGAATACTCTGTGGCATGTATATGTGCACACAAGAGATACAGTGACATGGACCATCTTGTGTGATCGTGTCCTAGAGAGCAATGCTCCGGTTTGTGTGGCTTTTTGACATGCCAGAAAAGAGGAAATGTTTTATTTTATACAATACGCTGATGTATGTGTTTGTAAATTTACAAATGTGTTTAATAGATACATATTACATAAATTATGCTACATACATTTGTAAATTATGAATTTGTAAACATATAAAACTCTTGTATCTTTATAAAACTAACATGAGTGAAAATAGCTTTTTAAAAAATAATTTCCAGATTTTAAGTTGACGGAGTAGATGAGCTATTTTACACTTTAAAACCACTCACTCTGTTACAGCTTTGATCTGAGATGGTCTTACAGTCAGGGGCCAGTAATATGTACCCACTTTACAGAGGGGTAAGCTAGGGAACAGAGGTGGTCCAATGTCATCCAGGAAAGTAGCTGCAGAGGTAAAGTATGAAAACAAATCTCCTGAGTCATTGCACTTTGTTATATCTTGAAGACAGATCAGTGTTTTGCAAGTAAATCTTATGCCCAGCTTGCAATGTTTGGAGGGCTGACTGACATGCAAGAAGTTTTATCCTGCTGGTTTTGTGTGCGCTCCCAGTGGTAACAGCTGAAAAGTGCTCTATGAAGAAGCAAACCTTATTTTTAAATGTGCTGCTGTTGTACTACCAGATAGAAATACTAAGTCCTGTTTGCAGACAAAGATTTAATTCAATTACACTATTTAATGGAAACTGCCTTTACAGGGACACTGTCAACTTGAAATCCATTGAAATACAGTGACAGATTTAAGGTAGTGTTTCCTACAATATTTGTTGAATGCCCCAACCAATCTTCCTGTATTATTTTCTCTTGGTTTTAAAATCTTATGTGGTAAAATTGATAT